ATAACTACAGTTAAACAATAATCAACTATTCAGTTGTCATCAGCTAGAGCTGGTCAAACACTTACAGGATTACTTCATGTAAGATAGATATCTTGTAAACAAGAAACATTCTAGGATCAAATCAGATATGCATAAAATCACACCACCAGACATTTGGTCAATACCATAAAAGTTTCTCAATGGTACCATGCAACACTCTTATAATTTGTATCTTCAGTCACTCGTCTCATCGCTACACCCAGAAACAATCAATTTGAATAACTTTCAGTGACCACTTGTCCACCACCCCCATTTCCCCTAGGCCATAAACGTGTAGATAGTTCCAGTTTCTTCACTGTTAACTGTAAATGAGCTTGCATGCTTCCACCTCTTCTAGTTCACACTAGTTTAATATTCATTTGCGGCTCAAAGTCAGTAATGCTTCAAGTATCAGTTTTTAAAATATGTACCTATTCAAAGCAACTACAAAATCAAAATTGGAAGGAAAACATAAAAGGATGTTGTCCCCTAAACCGATACAATCTAAGACAGTTTGCAAACGCACATACCAAATATAGACATAAAGTTATTTTTCTGAATGTCTGGCAAGATGTTTCATGTTTTATAGTTACAGATTTTTCAGAATATTAAAATTTGTTTTGCCATGAATAAAATATTTTCAAAAAGAAGGATTTTAATAACACGATCTAACGATGGCCTGCTTCACACTAGTTGTTCCACAGCATGAGCTTAGATTCTTTGTAAAAAATTTCTCTTCTCTCAAAAAACTCTTAAATTCAGTGTTGATAACTTTACCTTCACCCAAATCCAAGAGCTACGGAAATACAAGCCAAGATGAATCTGTTTAAAAACAAAACTGAAGGAATTTCAGTTAAGTCCATAATGTCTTCTCTGCAAAAATATGGTTTTAATTATCCCTCATGATGCTTAAGTGTTTTTTTTCACATGGTTGAAGAGTTTATTTTATCCACTCAGAAGACAATATTTTAAGGGTTTTTTTGAGTGCAAAATTTATTCCCACTTCATTTCTAGTGATGTGATACTGTTATATCCTTAAAAAAAAACAACTATCATCTCTCATATCCCTCTAAAAATATGAAACAACTTTTTATTTGAATAAAAATGGCAATTAACTGGTTATTCATAATGAGTCTCTCTCTGATCTGTTTAAAGTGCAAAATGTTTACATTTGTGACATGCAACAGGTGTTGTGATAAATGTAAACATTTTTGTGACATTAAGCAATGAAATGAGCACTCAACCCTGATACCAACAGAATAACACCGCTGTAACTGATGTGTTTGAATACGTTTTTGGCTTTATGATTTTTAGTTATTGCACTTCGTCTTCCCTATGCAAAGCAACAAAGAACAATGTATTGAATTCCATGGAATAATTGAAAAATGCATCACAATGCATAAAGGGATTATTTTATCCCTGCAATCCAGTATCATCAACTTAGATTTCTAGACCAGGGAAGCCACCTGCTGACATTCATAGGCATTAATTCACAGTGTTCATCCTTACCAACTCTGAATGAGAAGAATCTAGAACTATCCTCAATTATGGGTTGTCATGTCTTAAAACTAAGAAGTTCAAACCTATAGGCCAGTTTTATAAATCTATCTTTATGCACTGCATTTGAATATGTACAACACACCAAAACTCCTGGGGTTTTTGGGGTACTGGTATGGTTTTAAATCCAAAAAGCTTGTTCCTGAAGCCATTAAAGATTCCTGAAAAATCTTATGTTTCCCCAACATGCCTGCAGCTGCCATTAAAAAGTGCTCTGTCTTCATGGCTTCTGTTAGTTGACAGTACAATTTTAGATAACTTTGATTAGGAGTCTTCCATGTTAAAGAGTACAATAAGCATGCCTATATAAATAGTATAGATAAAGAAAGAAAAAGTGAGTACTTGTAATCTAAAATTGTGATATAAAAGTACCTGAACAAAGTAATTCTTGATTTTAACTTCAGCTAAAACAATATACAAGAAGCTCAACCTGCATGAGGTTTTGAAGAAAACAAATGCATAACACAATAGCACAGCAGAGAAATACAGAATCTACAGCTTGATTTATATTAAATTAAAGAAACTACAAATGACAAATTCAAATAACCGTGGAAGTAAATAATCTTAACATGCCTGGTCATATTTCCTAAAGGTATTTTTGTATGGCTTTTTTAATATTTACCATCACAGAGTGACCTCCAAATGCCTACTGACACGCATTCACTGTAGCCAATGAGTTTTAATCATAGTGTTCACTGTAGTTTACACTGTAGTGAATGAGTTATAACTAAAGTACTCTAAAAAGCTTCAGTTCAGACATTGCCTAGGAATTACATTCAGCAAACATCTAAAGTCTTTTTAAAAAGGTATTCAATTTCAAACTCTTTTTCTATGAAAAAAACTAACTGCAATTTGCATTGCTTCCCCAATTAAGAGACTTAGAGCTAAGCAACGAATTCAACAGATTACATTTACAACAGATTCCCAGAACACCAGCAATATGATCTGAAGCCTCATATTGGAACTACTCAGTACAAAACTGCATGTACTCTACAGTGACTATAATTTAAAGTTTTTGTCTTTTTTTCTTTTTTAGATATGAAAGGTCTGGAGATTCACATAGTCACATCTCTAGAAACGTTAGTCCATTAAAATAGCTAGAAAATGGCATTTCTTTTGCACTTGGATTTTTAACATAAGCTTTCTTTTAAGATTTAAATAAACATTAGAAAATTCTTCATAATACTATGATTCAATAAAATCATATTTTTAAAAATATTTGTGCTATTTCTCTCATACACTTTTTGTTTCGGGCAAAGAAAACAAACTAAAATTTTCTAACTTCACTTTCACATTGTCAAACATTAGCAAAATGTTGCAATGTTTAAGCTGCAGCCATTGAAAAAAGTGTTTATTAAAATGTTTTAATTATGTTTGGTTGTTTTTAAAAAGCTTCGAGAACATATTGTGAGTGGTACTAGAGAAGCTTTGCAACTTAATTCTTTACAAAAATTCAGACACTCAGTCTAATTTCATTCAAAACAATGTCCTCTTAAAATTGCTTCACTAAGAATTTCCTAGGGATCCCCAACATTGGCTTTATAAATTTTGCATGTATGTATGCATACAAACAATGGAAAAATAGATCTTGAATAGACATACTCATAAATATTTAATCTATTTTAACAGACAATTGCTTGAGGAAAATATGAAGTAAAACTTTTCAGTGCAACAGTCTGGTTGCCAGACATAAAAACATCCACATAAAATCCTTTTGTGAAGTTTTTACTTTTCAATAAAAAAAACCCTCAACATTGTTTCTGTATGAATTTGCACAGTCAAACTGCAACTGGAAACCTTTAAAGTTATTTAAAAAAGCATTCAAGACATGAAAGAAAGTATGTGCTGCTATTTTACTGATACTTGAGTCAAATTGTATTGTCACCTGGCTGAAATGGATGGATGAAAGAAGCCATCTCAAAACACTGAATAGGAATTTTCTCCAGCTACTACTTAGCTTTTGCTACTGTTGAACACCTCACAGAGCATGCTTTGCAAGCAGACACCAAGCAGAACCATTCAAAGATACCACCTTTGACTGCAAGGCCAGGTTTGAAAAAGGGGAGGAATAAAAAAGAAGTTCATACTGTTTTTTGTTTCTCTTCCATATGCAATAGTTATGTTGGGATCTTTTCTTAAGAGAAATGAATCAAAACTAGCACTACGGTATAATGCTCTTGTAGCGTAATTACACAGGAGAAGGAATCAGTACAAACAAATCTGACAAATCTCCAAGCACCATTTCTGCAGATAGCCTTAGGAAGAGCCATTGACTATAGTTTGTGGATATACATTTAGCAGCTTTAGTCAGATTTCTGCAGCAGGAAATGAAACTGTTCTGGGCAGATGCTTTAGCCTAAAAAGTAGACCATCTTATAATGTTTCTATAGGACATAGATCTAGAGTGAAGTTGATTTATACATTCTATATAATACTTAGTTATTAGTTATACAAATAATATGTTCGTATGTATTTAGGAAAAGAAAGTGAACAAATACTTAAGAAATGTAACAAGCAGTAAGATGTAGGCAAAAAGTCAAATAATAATTTTAACCCAAAGAAGATCATTGCTCCATGGAGATTAATATCCCATCTTCAGGATGTTTAAAAGGTTGAACAGCCTAGTAATTGCACCTGCTCAGAACTTTTACATAAAAGAGGATCAAAATCTGTGATCATTCTCTTTGAAACTCCAATAGCTACCAATGAAACACCTGTCTAATTTATTTCATAGAATTAATTACCTCAGACATCTTTTAGTGCTTTAGGACTTCCCATTCTCAAAACAATTCAGGGCTCATTTTAATTGTATGACTTGCTACTTACTGATGAAGAGAACTACTATTTATTTTCCTGATCAGTTTTATATTTACTTAGAAAAAACTTTTACAAGGGAAAAACACCTAAAAAAAGATTCAGTGCTGACCCAATCCTCTCACTTTTTTTAACATCGAAACTGAGCTCAAATAGTAAGTTAAGAAATTTAGCTTTACCTGAACGTAGAAGAAAATATTGCATAAGTCTTTATCCTGCAGAAACATCCACTGGGGATGATCCACTATAAAACAAACAACAAACCCTACCCCATTTAGTAACTAACTCACTCCTCCAAAAAGCATAGGCATCTTTTCAGGTTACTTCAGCGGCTTTTCAACTAAATCAGTTTGAGCTGACTTACCAACCTCCTTTACGATGTCAATTTGGCACGGACTCTGCCACCACAAGTTACCAGAAAACTGAGTTCCATGGTTATACGTATTGTCTTTGAACACCATTCGCATAACATTTCAAGGAAAGCGAGATTCAGAAAAGCTTCTAAATTGATAGTGCATAGAGAATGCATTTTTCTTGTACATACAAAGGCACTCAGTGATTCTCCAAGAAAAAGAAAGAGCTTAACAAACAATATGTCCAGTTAAACTGACCTTTTGGAGTCTTCTAGCTTTTCTTAACCCCCCATTGTGATTATTCTTTTGTTCATTAAAAACTTTGCGAGAGCCATCAGTAACATGACACTCTGAAACTTCATTTTCATCACCTAGAAACCAAATTTAGAAACTTGAAATGAAAAATGCAATCTTGTGAAATGGAACTGCCACCAATTATTTTATCATAGCACATAGAGCTATGTACAATTAAGAAATCTAAGTTAATAATTTGTACCAGTTATTTTTCCATTATATTTCAGTTATGGAAAAAAGAATGACACTCAAGCATCTGACTTCATCTTTCAGTATCTGATCTTGTAAATAAACTAGTTGTAAAACGCCCAATTACCAATATTTTGAAAACCTTATATTAACTACAAGTAGAGAATCAGCTAAATTGCTTTCTATTTATTACAAAATTTGCAGGTTCTCTGAATACAGAGATATTTGAAGCAGTGGTGGCTAGATTTGTACTTTCTTATTGAATGTCAATGCTTTCAGTACACACCGTGTTTATCTGAAATGGCCTGAAGGTCCGAAACATGTTTTCAAACACTCTGCAAGCAAATCTAGCAAGCTGTTAGCAGGCAAGGATTGCGTATGCATGCAGGCTTATCAGTCCTATTATTTATAAAAAGGCACCATCCATAAGAATGTACTCTAATGTGGCTGCCAAAAAGCAGTATTTTTCACCACGTATTTTGTGAATTAACATATATTTAATTCTTCAACACTGTCAGGATGACTTTTTTAAGCACTAAATAATAAACTTTTGAATCATTTGAGAAATTAGCTTGCTTTCATAAGATGAAAAACTTTGATCTATCTTTTGATCAAAGAAGTTTTAATTACTGAAGATTTAAGTAGATCATTTTCCAAAATTTAATTCAAAGGAGTCTACTTTAGGACATTCATTAGTTTTTCATTTCAAAGAAATGTATGAGACCAGTTAAAGAAAGTTTAATAATTAGTGATTAGAGTGGCCTAAATTCAGCACCTCCCAAATAAGCTCCTTCTGATTACTTTTGGAAAATACTGAAGGGTACTATCCATATCTACTAGTCTGACTGCATATATAACTAAGAATCATTTGTTTGTCCTCTGGCAGCTACTTAAACTCTTAATCCTTGAGATGACAGAACAACAACAACAAATTACAACACAAAAAATGATTACAAATATTTTCCATTACCGATTACTTTTAAAATTGTTACCTTTAAACTAGTCAAAATTTAATCACTTCTTCACACTAAAGTTGCAAGTTTCACGTGAATTTACACAGTATTACAGTAATTTTTGTGTAATACAAGTAAACCTGGCTTTCAGGTACAATTGTTAATTTAAACTCAATATTTAAATACAAAGTGTCATTTAACAAAGGGAGAACTAATTTCTTAACTATGTTAATTTTATTTAGTATTGCACTGAGGCCCATCATCTTCAATCACTGAGCAAGACTGATGGCAAGTAGGAAAGATCTTGCCATACAATAAAAAAAGCTAGGAAATTTAAATTTAACTCTTTTTACGTGGAAAACAATTTTTAAACATGCATTTTGAGTCTTAAAAAAACCCCAACAACCACAGGACTGCAAAGGGTGTCAGGAGATCATCTACTCTATTGCTTTACCTCAAGCAGGTGGGTGTAAAGCAAGGTATGTCTCTGTTAATTTCCAGTAAGTTATTTCAGTCATTGTAATAGACAATCCACTGTTTTGGTTTCGTTTTTGGAGGGGTGGGTTGGCGGGGCAGGGGGGCGGTGAGAAGTGGTGTAATACTCCTTTTGCCACTCTTCGCCTGAATGCTCAAGCTCCGCAGCTCTTGTCCGACTTGCGATTAAAGTCTCAAGACCTGTATGCTTGGACCTCTTTCCAGTTATGGTTCACTCTTGTTGGTTCTTCATATTTACAGGAAAGCAGGAACAGGGGATGAAGTCCATCACCTCCTCTGATTATCAGCTTGGGGATCTTATGCATTACATATATGAGGACTATTCTTTGCAATCTGGTTCCTACTTCTCTTCTGACTATCAGGACTTCTCAAGCACTTTCCAGCTTTTCCATCCTGTTGGTCTCAAGCTTCACTGTCTATTGTCTGTTTTTCCCTGATTGCTTCTTTTTAAAGCAGTTGCTCAGTCACAAGTAAGGAGTTTTCATCTTTAGTAGCCTTTCCTAGGGTATTCCAGATAAGGTTGACAGAACTTTTTGAAGCAATTTCATCCACTGTTAGTTATCCCTAAATTTAGTTCAAATACACAGCTAACTCATGCCACTATGGTTCATTAGATCCCCTGAATTCTATTCTAAAACATTGCTCAATGACTGGTATCAATATCAACAATTCTGATAGCCCTCTGAAGTATTACAACAAATTAGAGTGACTTTAATTTGCAATTTAAGCTTCTACTCATTCATGATCATTTATCACCAGTGAGAAGTTTTGAATCAGAATATTATCTTCAAAATTCCATTTGATATTTCCTTCGAGTTAAAAAGCAAAGTAATGATTAGGCACAATAAGCTAGTTTTTGTTCAATCAAATCAATCATGCCTATCTAATAAAAATTTTATATATAGTATAGTGTTCTCATAACGAAGTGTCACTGAAATTAAGCTATATCATATCTACTATTTTGTATTTATCCACAGAGTTATTTACCACAACTATGAAGAAAGTAAGTCTGAATTTGCCATCATTAGTAATCCTTCAGGTACATATCCACAGAATATTTAATAACTTGTGGTGTTATTATTATTGTAGTTATTATTCCAGCATGGACAAATACCAAGTTTTTGCTATTCAGAACAAAATTTCTTCAAGTCTTCTGAAAGCTTGTATGCCCACCAGGTTCTCTTTGAGAACCTGTTAATGGTTTAAAACAATTTCATCTAGCTTGTTATGTGCTCTAGGACAAGCGTCATCAGGCTTTGTAAATTTGACTACATCAAAATAATCCTCAACCTGTTCCTCTATTCAGAAATATTTGTCCTTTTTTGTTTTAATAATTAGTTTTAGTTAAACTTTTTGTGAAGATAAACAGAACAAGGAATCAAGCAAGAAATAGCTTTCTTCTTCATCCCTCATTTATTTTTTAAAAGGACATAATTAAATGTCAAGAGAGGACATAATACAATATTTTTGTTGAGCTTTTCTGCTTCCAAAACTGAAGGAAAAAAAAAGGCACATCAAATCTATGGAAGTTTTCACATGTGTGTTTTTAAAGACCAACAGTATTTTAGCAGCATTAAGCACCTAGCACCTCACGTAAAACTCATTCATCTAAATTAAACTTCATCATGCAAATAAGAGAATATTTCAGATTCCCCATCTTAACATTGAACTACATTAATTACACTATAATGGGTCTCAGTTTATGTCTTTTGGCCAACTAAGATAATATTTGCATCCCACATTCACCGTAAGTATCTGTAATTCACTCAGATAAGCCTTAAGTTTATTTTTAAGACTGGAAATAATGCTAAGTCCCAGTTCAAATTTCTAAATTATTTTAGGATGATAAAAGCTTAGAAGAGAGTACTCTTGCATTCCTTGCCCAATATTATTTGTTGTTGTAGCTTTCAGATGAAAAGTCATAGGAATTCATCAAATCTGAGCAAGTATTGGCATTCTAAACCATGTGGTTCAACTGCTAACTTACCCTACCATCAGCCCTACTAAAAAAGTTATAAGCCGACAGACTGGATTTCAAAGTAAAGCAATTTACAGCATGAATGACAAAGAAGTTCTTAGACTCTCCCAGTGACATAGATCATTAATTTTCACAAAAGATAGTATTATGGCATTTCCATAAACTTATATTCATGACAGAGAAAAGCCACCATTTTCCTCACTTTGTAACTGCTAAAAATTTAGGCACTGACACACAAAACCCAGTTACACAGCACTTATTGATTACAGAGCACTGTAATTTATCAGGTATGGCTGGTTTAATCAGGATAGAAAATTTATTTCATCTCCAGAAACAAAGCTGAGAAAGCAAAAGTGAATCTGAATAGGAAAGCATCTTTTAATATTCTTATAATGCCTAATTAATTTCAACTCTTGTATCTGTGACAGTTCTGTACTTGATTCATGACTTGGAGTAAGATGAAAATAAATAGCCATGTTTATGCCTGCGCTGTTCAGCAGAACAACTGGGCAGCCTTGAGTGTACCCTACAAAGGAACCTGAAGTTTGCTACAACATAAGCATTAGGACTTGAAAAGTTAGTTTCAGATTAGCCTGCATGTTATACTTCCAATCAAATGTTCCAAGTAGTCTGTGGAAAGAAAGCTTATCAAACCTTATTTCTTGTCATTAAAGACACTGGGTAAGTGTGCCACTGACCTAAAAACACAAGGAAAAAAAGGGGCAAGAAAAATGTTTGACATTTAAAATATCCATATAAAATTTAATCATATCTGTATATATTTGATTACTCCTAACTGTATATATGAATGAATTCTTTAGCTTTTAAAAATAATATACTGTATTTACCAGTTTTCAAATCACATACAACATACAGAAAAACAAAGCAATTTACTATTTATTTACTAATTAAGAGGGACAAGAAATAACTTACATTCAAGCAAAAAAAAAAGGAAATATTAAACCTGTATTTAATGAAAATCAATTATTCCATCATACAGTATCACAGTAGTTACGTTTAAAACAAGATGTTCATTTTCTTCCACAGAACTTGCATTAGGGAAAATACAACTCATCTTTCATTATTGATTCCTTCCATTTTTAAGTGAGCTCATTTGAGCTGTCAAACTTGAGGTTCTACTTGACTACACAACAGATGCACGAAGCTGAATACATTATAATTGGGAAAATGGCCATCACTGATAAATCACAAATATTATTAAAATCACTAGAAACAAATTGAGACTTTCAGAAGTTCCTAACAAAAAGGATAAAAAGTATAAACATCAGATAACTTTTGTTTGCTGAATACTGTTCCTTTTTCCTCTCCTCCAAAATCTGTTATCTTAAACAAGTTGTCCAGCGAGAAAATAAAAGCTTAACAGGCTAGAACACTGATCATAATTTAATCACTAGAATTTAAAAGTTAGAATTACCTCTAAAATTAACTGGCATACCTAAGTTTAAAAGCAGTAAACATTTTCTCCCTCCCCCATTTGTTTTCATGATTGTTTAATGAAAAACAGACTGTTCTTTGACATTAAGAAATACATAATTTAAGGATCATCTTCTAGTACATTGCCACATGGCAAAAAACACATACTGTGGGTTCATACATTTATGTGTGTAGATTTATACTTGTATAACATACACCTGCATCAACTTTTTTTTTTAACTGTGTTACAATGATGCACTCCAGGTATTAAAATACAGATGTAACGAACCCAAAATAGCAGCTCACAGTTCAGCAACTTATTACCCACAGATAAAAGCACAGTCACCATTCAACATTTCCACTGGATGATTTCATAAATCTGATACCAAGTTTGTTGAGCCCTTTAAGTTAATAATTAATTTTATATAATTCATTGATGCACTGCTGCAGAATTTTCTAGGGAAAACAAATGACTAAAATATACAATTGTAATTACAAATATTTAACCCTATATAAAGCTTGACAAACAGCTCAAAATATCAAAATCTGAAAGTGATTACCCCAATGCAAGTTAGGAGCATTTTTCAGGGAAGTTCCCAAGATTCAATATTCTAGTATACATTTACATTGAAATAACTTAGGCTAAACCACCTTAAAAACACTCAAATATAAAAAATCTTAAAATTATTATTAAAAACTAAGATCAGTTCAACATAAAAAAGCCATGGTTGAAAAAGATGCTTACATTGCAACTCTTGCACATACCCTCAGATGTCTTATTCAATCTTCATCATAGCACGTTAGAAATATTGCTAGCTCAAATATTTCTTTTCCACTAGAGATTTTATGCCCTTAACTGCAATTAATCTAAGGTAGCAATTTTAACTAGTGAAATAAAAATAATTTGAACAAGGGACCCTATGATGAGGAGTTACTTATAAACAATTTACAAGAGCACCATAACATTTGAACCAGAAAGACCTTGGTTACTTAAACAGATTTTGAATAGCAGCAGAAAGTTTACAGAATACCAAGCATCAGGGGAAAAAGAAGGCTCACGTACTTTTGTTGCATTTTGTGAGCACAGTTTCCTTATCTCTTGGTGACTTCTTTGCGTTTGTAATGTATGGGGGAAAAAAAAGGGTGTTCTTTTGGATCCTATGCACTCATTTATTTTACTCAAAAATAAAATCAGTACTGTAGCGCTTTCTTCTTTTGGTGTAACTCTAAAATATTTTTCCCTTGGGAATGGCAGTTCATTTTGCAATTTAGTTGCATGAGTATATCTAATGCAGTATGATATCTTTTCACTTTCCATCTCTATGTAGTGACTTACCAGTAGTGCCAGTACAGTAATTCACATTGGTTCTGTAGGATTTTTCAAGAGCATGCTGAGGCAGCCTATTCACATCATCAGAATCTAGAGCTTCTGCAGTGTCAGCTTTTTCGCCATCTGACATATAGTTTAATGGCACACTTCCAGGGTGTTCAGCTGGTTTGAAATTTTTCTTTACTGAAACATCATTTGCTGGAATAGATTTTTTCGTACTTTTCTTGGAAGTATGTGGCTTACAGAAACTCACATCAAAGGAGTCCATGCTTGTAAAAGGGTCTTTGCAACAAACTTCAGGAGGATTCTGTGATTCCTTTGGTACTCGTACTTGTACTTCATTTTCATTCAAATTAGATGATGAAAAGAAGTCTTCATAAGAAGACTCTTCAGTGCAAAAAGACTTGCTATATGTAGTAGCTGCTTGCAAGAACTCTTTACACCCTGATGCACCCAGTTCTGAGGTAGCCAGTTTCAAACTAGATAGTGTTTGTAGTTTCTTCCTCTTCTTGTCTTCAAGAATACAATCATTTCTGTCAACAGGGAAGTTTCTATCCAATGAACATGTATTAAAGTCTTCACTGCTCATAGGTGAATTAGAGAGACTGCCAGTCAAAGTAGGAACAGTATTTAACTTGACTATTTTTTTGGAAGGAGTAATATGACCCAAGCCCTTGATCTGAAGAAGAGAACTTTCATTTGCAACTGAAGTAGTCATGCTATTTTCATCCTTCTGATTTTTCTTTGGAAACTGTTTTAGGTCTTTCTTTTCTAAAGACAATTTAGGATCCAAAGTGTGCTGTAAAATCTGTTTCTTTCTTAAGCTTCTTCTGCTATGTTGTTTTGGTGTTAAGCTCTCCTGCTCATAGCTATGTGAGGGAGAATTCACTGATGCATTCATGGATACATTAATATCAGTCCAAGTATCGCAGGTGTGTTTTACTCCCTCTGTTTTCTCTCTCTTTAATATACCAGTTCCCCAAAGATAATCATAACTTGAGTTCAAGCACTCTTCCATTTGTTCTCCTGCAAAATATGAGAAGTGGCAATATAAGTGTATTTAACAGAACACAGAGAGTACCAAATCTCTTAATAAAACAGATATGAAATTACTGAAAGAAGAAAAGAAGGATTTAGGCACTTCTCTGGATATTATACGGCAAGTCATCAAAAACTAAATAGAAAACGGATTAGAAACAAAGCACGTTCTATGTTGACAAGAAGCCACAATAGCTTTAGCTATCATGTCTCCTTATGCGGTAATAAGTATCCATAAATCCTGTTCTGCTTTCTTGAAACAAAGCAGCAGAGGAACTCCCTTTCACTCTTCCATTTGTGGAGAAAACCAGCATGATTTTACACTGATATAACTAGCTATAAGTAATACTGGAAACTGAATAATCATTTTTACTACCACAGCATTACCACCACCCTGTAGTTTTTGCAGCTAAGATGAAATCAAATACATCATAGTATCATACCACATATATCAACACAATGTATTAAAAATAATTAGAATGTGGAAAATATATCATTTCTTGCAGCTATTCTTATGAAATGATTTTGGGGGAGGTCATATACAGAATCCATTCATAACTCTTCACAATAAATTCCTCTGAAACAGGCTAGTACCTTTGATTATTCAGAATACATCTTTAAAAATCCAGTTGTTGTTATACAATCTGATTCTTGCAATAGATGCTTTTGTTTAAGTACATGTTGAATGCAAAGTTTCAGCAATACTCCTTCTGTAAGTGCTCCTGTAGGTTTTAGGGAAAGTCTTGATGTTATTTGCTTACTAAATATAAACAATATTTTTAAACATATGGTGTAGCTAGCTAAATTCAGAAAAATTAAATATACGGAGATGAAAAAAGAAGTTTTCACATGACATCATCGGACTCCCATATTGACAATTGAAAAAGACTTAACTTCAATCCTCAAATTAAACTGGATTCTTGAACTTTTTTAACCATTATTAACCAACATACTCTCATGTATCTCACAAGCACAAACAAAAGAGTCACCATCACAGAGCATCAGAGATGGAAGCTACACTGAATATTGTCACGGGATGTGGAGGTCTATTCTTAATATAAAATCACATTGTGCAGTGGTAATGTTGGAGGGACATACTCAAGGTAAAGCTCTCAAATCACGATGTTCAACCTCATCAGCACACGACTAATTTACCAAAATAAAAAAGTTTGTTGGCACAGCTATGCTACTTCCAGTATTAAGCTATTACTTCTCCCTAACATTGCATGAAGACATACCAAGCTGTCTCAGGCCACAAGATCCCGACTCTGTTCTCATGTAAGCCAGCAGGACAGAATTCCTGTATTATGTCAACAAAATACAACACTTGAAAACAGCATGAGGTATAGCTTACTGTTGGGGTAGAACGGAGAGTAGGCAGACCACTCAAGTGGACTTCATTATGAATTCTAAAGACTGTCTTCTCCTTACTTTTCTATTGAGATCAAACACAAGCATCTGACTTCAGCTTTTTGCTCATGTGACTGACAGAAGACATGAGGTCTGAAGTAGATACCCACTGCAATACATGATTAATGCTGTTAAGATGCCCACTAACATAGCTCAACAGCCTTCACAATAATCTTCTCCCTGACGTCCTGCTACTATGCCAAAACACAGGAACAAACCCCTAACTTCATAAGAATTAAGAAACTTGATAAGAAACAACTTGAATTCATCTGCAACCATAAAACATTTTAAAAGCTGATTTGTTTTTACTCTTGTTATTTCTTTGATCCCTGAATACTTAAGCTAGAGAACACGCTAGATTTGCATTTAAAACCCAAGTTTTTCGACTGAAAATTTGGAAGACATTTCTGTTGTCTGAGGTCTCTCTCTCTCACTCAGTTCTCTTTTTCGCTTCCCACATCACGCTGTTCAGTGTGCACTCTGTATTCTATACAAGATCACTGTAAGAGCAGAGAAGACTGACACCATGCCAGGACAAGAAGCCATTAATGGGGAATGGTGTGAAGAAAGAGGGGGAAGTGAGGCAAGCAACACAGCAGTAAGGCAGAGCATTTATCCAATGTGATTCCTTTCCTTGAGTTCTTACTTCTACGTACTTTGCCAGTTAAGAAAAACTAAAATAATTCAGCTTTAAATATAAATGATAGAGCAAATATATTCAGTTCCCATTTCAGTATACTGTACTTTCCAAAATAAGATAAACAGGCCATGTATTATTTTTAATTTCTGTAATATCTAAAGTTGTGTTAGTTACCTGGTAACAATGCATCTTCTGAATTAGTTAAGACACAAGTAGACAGTGGGCAGTCTCCTGGTGAACTACTTGGAGGTACTTGAGACATTTGCGAAGCTAGGAATTTGTAAATAATAAGCTAGTTAGCTTATTTGCAAACATACAGATTTCCACATCATCTATTCTTATTTCAAAACAGCTCAATCCTAAGAGACAAGTCATTGCTTTGCCAACTAACTATAACCATATAAATAATTATAGACAGCTCAACAGTATCTCAAATTTACATACTAACAAAAAACCTGTTAGATATTCTACAATTTTAAGCAAATTTTTTCTAGATAACTCAGCACCACATTTTTCTGAAACTAAAGAATGATGGCAAACCATTTAGAAAATATTATAGACATTTCTAAGCCAGTTGAGGAATTTTACTAAAGAATCTGTCAAATTCTGCAATTAGCAGCAAAGCCTTGATATAGCAGAAATGCTTTTCAAAACGTTTGAAGGTATTACCTTAAAACTCAAAGAGAAAACAAATACAAGCCATGCTAAAATAAATAAGATTTAATTTTTCCATCCATATGTCACTGGTTCTTCACTTTCCTCCCACAATTATTTTTGAAACTATAAACTGACAGTCTAGTTGACACAGAGTTCTTAAAACTTCAAATACTACAGATTTCCCCCCCCCAAATATGTTCCACATTTCAACAGTTTTTATAATAACTGACAAAACCTAATGACTTAGACCTCAATACTTACACAGTAAGGTAATGCAAACACTAAAAGATAATTTGAAAACTGCAATGTAGATTTAATTCACCAGGATCTACATTTTGAAGTCAACTAGATTTATTCAATTAGGTCATTCAAATTGATTTGTTTTTTTAAATCTTGTTCCTCAGTACCCAGACAGATTTCTCATCAATTTTGGACTCCTTTTTAAAGTGTTGGCCTGGGAGTAATAACATTACAATCTTTGTCAAGTACAGCATTCACATTAAAATTTAACAGGAAATAAGATTTAGAGTCTTGCTGTAAAGTTTCATCAACTTGTGATAATATCAATTTACAAGTTTAGAAAGTCTAGCTTAAACATTAGTCCTCTTGACCAGTCTAGTAATTAAGGCATTCCTTTTTGCAATCATTGTCTTCCATGACTTCTTGTGGCCTTTGATAGAAAGAAACTAAAAGCTAAAGCATTCACACCTACTCAAAACCTGGGAAGAAGGGAGGACATGTGATCAAGTAAGATATGAAAAAAAATTCTGAAGGCCAGAGCAAGACAAGTGCACCAAAAATTCAGCAATAAAGATGATATCCATGAACGTGCACAAATGGCTAAGTAAAATGTAACTTCTTACCAGTAGGAGAAATATTTTCTCTTTTTTCCTTCATCTCCTTTATTCTTCTTTCCATTGCAGTGCATTGATCTTTTATCTTATTAACTGGGCTGTATACAAGCGAACCATTGTCTTCAAATAGTAAAACTGGTACATCAGTTTCTACACAGAGAAATCGCATTTGCACATTAATATTTACATGCTATAACAGCTTCAAGTGAAGTTTCTTTTTTTTTCCCCAAAAAAAACTTGAAGCAATTAGGTTCCTTATACTTAACATCGTTACAGATGCCTTAATACCACAAACTTGCAAAGAACTCTGTAAAAAGTAAGTCAACTTTATTTCTCATGGTGAGATGCATAAAAGTAACAAAACCAAAAACCCATCAAATGCTTTAAAGAAATAACTTAAGATATTTGAATCTTAGTCCAAAGTAGTTCTTACCAGCATTAATTGCTATCTTTTGTACAGCTAATTCTTTAGTCATCTGGTCCAGTCTTCTCTGCAGCTTTCTATCATTTTCTGGAGTTTTTTCAACAAAGTCTTTTGGCTGCATACATTTGTGCTACAAGACACACAAAACTATTAATTATACGGTATAAAACTGCCAGAATTAACTACACTTCCTATTTGCCTACCACTTTATCACAGTATTTATTATCAGTGTTTAACTCTATGCTACTTATTATCACCTCCTTGAGAGTCACAGATAATTGTAGAAGTTAACGTTTTCCAAAGTGAACTTTAATATGAAATAAGAAAGAACATAACAGATTTTTTTAGGTTAGATTTTAATAAAAAGGAGACTAAGTCACCGTCTTTTCTTTTTTGCTTGTAGCAAAGCTAAGGCTTGAAATATTTCTGTTTTTTTAAAATACCAGGATTTTATTGCAACTCAGTGAAACATACGCCACATTACAGTCATGTTTTTTTTGATTAGTTAATCATTACGTGGTTTTAATTTAAATCTTCGTTTCTTTATTCACCAATACAAAAACTCCACTTTTATTATCCTTTCTTCATGTAAGATGTCACATCATCACAGCCATAGCCTACCTTTAAAAACCTACTCAGATGGATAGGTAGTTTACAGAATGTTCTGAAAATAAACATTTCAAATGCTTGAGGTCAGAAAGTCAAGTTCAAACTTTAAAGCTTACTACTGTAGGCCTATTTAAAAAAAAAAATCACATACTCACTTTTTTGATCAGTAGTGGTAATCCTTCATTAGTGTCTACTGCAGGAAATAAGGTTTCATCAACATGTACTCCAGTTTCTCGACACCTGTAAAATAAATTACAGCAGGTTTGGGTTTTTTTTGTTTGGATTTTTTTTTTTTTTTTTTTTTTAAGAATGAGAACCTTTATTGCAAAAAGAGTTGTCTGAGCCCTGTAATAATGAAACACCAACTCTTCCTAAGTGTGTATCTTTAACATAACTACTGTAAGGCTAAAAAAAAAGAATAATCTATTACACATCAAATATAGGACATGATACAATTTTTTTTTTGTCCTAATGATGGCCTCTAAATTGCTGTTCTGAAACTCAAAGATTCTCGCTCATATGTTATTTTCCATGCATTCAAAAAAATCACTGTATTAAATCCTTCTGGCCAGATTCTCATGAACCTCAAACTTGCCCTGACTTTTGTGAGGACTGTAGGCTTTCCTTGTTCATTAGTTAGTGAACTTAAGGTTAACTTGGTCACTGTGATGACAGTAAACTCTCAGCTACAATCTACAGAATGTCATGGAGGGGGAGGGCAGGAAATCTTTCTATTCAGGCAAATGAGGAAGAAGGCTTCATCTGATCCTGGCTTTTACACCTTATCCATTAGTCTCAGTTTTCTGCCTTCTCTTTGTATATGCAATGCTAAAAACAGCCCCTTATTGAGAAGCAATCTATGTTTATGCAAACTTTTTTTTAATTACAAAGCCAAAAATCCAACTGATACCATACCCCTAGTTTTTCCTGTCTTTTCATATTCAAAGACTGACTTGAGAACAGTAGCACTAATGTTATCTCGGAATATGATACAATCTACTGCATCTGTGAACACTAAGGATGATGTTGAGACCAGAATTTGGTTATTAATACATAAAGTTCTTTTCAGCAAAATAGGTAAACACAGTTTTATTCTCAAACAATAAACAATAAAACCAATTATGGGAAAGAGAATAGAACCTTAATAGACTACGCTAGAATTCCCCCAGAAGTCATTCAAAACCGTGATTCTAGTGACACCTAGTGATCTAACTGTTATAAAGTTTGTATCCGTAGAATTATAATCTAATGCTTAGTAACTCAATTTTGAATAAAGAGCCAAACCACTACATGTATTCGTCAAACTGAGTTTAGAGTTCTCTGGAGCATCAAATAGAGATGATATTCAACATGCTGGACTTCAGTGGCTATTACTAAATTCTGGATAATAATGAGCATAGATGTAAACAACATTAAAATTTACATTAATTCAGAGATTTCATTGATACAGAGAAGCTAAACAGAAGAAAATTTGGCCATTAAATACCTTATAAGAATTTTTTACTTTGCAGACAAATCTCAATGTAAATGATTTATAGAACCATAGAATAGTTTGGGTTGGAAGGGACCTCTAAAGGTCATCTAGTCCAACCCCCCTGCCACGGGCAGGGACATCTTCAACTAGATCAGCTTGCTCAGAGCCCCGTCCAACCTGACCTTGAATGTTTCCTGGGATGGGCCTGTCACAACAGGCCCTGCTAAAAAGCTTGCTGCCATCTTTCTTATAAGCCCCCCTGAAGTACTGATAGGCTGCAATAAGGTCTCCCCAAAGCCTTCTCTTCTCTAGGCTGAACAGCCCCAACTCTCTCAGCCTTTCTTCATAGCAGAGGTGTTCCATCCCCCTGATCACTTTCGTGACCCTCCTCTGGACCCGCTCCAACAGGTCCGTGTCTTTCTTATGCTGAGGGCTCCAGAGCTGGACGCAGTACTCCAGGAGGGGTCTCACCAGAGCAGAGCAGAGGGGCAGAATCACCTCCCTCGACCTGCTGGCCACGCTTCTTTGGATGCAGCCCAGGATACGCCTGGCCTTCTGGGCTGCGAGCGCACATTGCTGGCTCAAGTCCAGCTCTTCATCCACCAGTACCCCCAAGTCCTTCTTGGCAGGGCTGCTCTTAATCCCTTCATCCCCCAGCCTGTATTGATACCGGGGGTTGCCCCGACCCAGGTGCAGGACCTCTCACTTGGCCTTGTTAAACCTCATGAGGTTCACACGGGCCCACTTCTCCAGCTTGTCCAAGTCCCTCTGGAAAACATCCCATCCCTCTGGCACGTCAACCGCACCACTCAGCTTGGTGTCATCTGCAA